TTATATACAAAGTGTATGTGTATGAATTCTTCACTGACATACCACGTAATTTTGAAGAATTTGGAACATTCGATGGAATATGTATCAGTAGATCGGTAGCGCGCTACCAGTGAAATCGGCAGCGAGGAATGACCTTTACGTATTTTGTTTCCTTCAGGCGTGCATAACCGACTCCACGGGGATCGAGCGGTCCCGGAAAAAAAACAAACGTTCAGCTAATTGAGCGTTATCTGAGGCCTCGTCCGCGAAGTGCTATCGGACCTCCGCAGCCGGTGTAAGTGGACACCGAGTCGCGATTTTTTTACCCCCGGGCCGCGGAGCAGTTTCGATTCGGTGCCGGGATACGGCCGACCGTGAAGGGTTGGGTTTCTCGCGTGCCGCGGACCCGGCCAGTTTCGGACTTGTGCCCGCCGGCCGTCGACGGCGTGCGTTATTCCGCACCGATTCGTTGACGAAAACGATTGGTATCAACGTTAATGACGACACTAAGGAGCCGACACAGGGTCATTACTAGGGACTATTACAGGGGGACTCTATTTAGTCATGGCAAATAATATATGATTAATTTTATTCTAGTGGTAGACGCTCAAGATTTTACTTAAAATATGAATAGATAAATTATCGCGCCCGCACGCTTTTTCAAGTAAACTAAGCGGCCGCATAACTTGAAAATAGGCGATGGTAATTTGAGAAAAGAAAACGATACGAAAACACAGGTTTAATTGAGGATCAATGGGTCTGATAGCCAGTAATCAACGAGATGGATTGTCCTCCAATTTGATTACGCTGTCGGATGCAGCGCCGGAATATCGAATCAATTTTTACGACTATTTGTAGTCGTAAAAATCAGTCTGACTAACGACGACCCGACCCGTGGATATTACAAACACACAGACGCCCGAAGACACGTCGAAGGGAACGGACATGTCCACGTCGAATCGCTAATACGCACTGTGGGCGCTATGGCCGTATTCCACGTAAATTTCGTATCGCGGCCCAAATGGTAAACTTACGGCGGCGATCAAAAGCACCTTAGGAAGGCCAAAAAAAAAGAAAGTAAAGTTAATTTAAGGTCAGCGTTTCGTTCGGCGAAGGTGTAAGTAAATCTGGCCCCGATTTAAATAAAGCTGGCCAAGAAACTGTTACAACATAGATGTTATAGATTGTAGCGACGGCGGTAACAAAGATAATCGACATAGCTCAGAAGATTGGTAAGCCGAAGTGGCAATGGGCTGGCAGTATAGCTTGTACAACCGATAACGGATGAAAGGCGGAAGAAAGCTTTCGAGTCCTTCGTACTGGCTATCGCAGCGTATCCCACACTAGACGGAGTGACGACCTGATGACGATATGATGCAGATATGCGTCTTCCTACTTCCTACTCGATTTAAACAGTAATAACATCTTTTTATAATCACAATAAGATCTTTTTTTTTTTTTAATGAAATTATAAATGATATACTCGTACTAATGTTTTTCATATAATAAAATGAATAATAATGTAATGACATGAAACATATATGATGAAATAAAGTTAAAAAGTCTCGGTGAGTATTTAACGAATGTAAACGTTTGTATGTAATGTATTCGCAAATAAAAACGAAAACACAAGAAAATATTTAAATAATAAATTTACATTAATCACATTTGTTACGGAATTCAGCACAATTCGAACCAATCTGCAATGAGATCAATGTCGTAAAGTCACGGTATCTCATCACTTGCGCCACCATTGCAGTCATCAGTACATTAGGGTATCTGTTACGGTTTGAGCAATAGACGATATTAGTGAAGGCGTGTTAGCGATAAAGAGAAATAATTTTACATTCTGTAAGCTTTGTTAGCTTTCGTGCTGGACAAAATTGAAAAGATACACAGTGTTTGTTTAGGCTTTTTTAAGAGACCGCGCAATAATACCGAGAGTAGCTTGTTCACAAGCTATTCTCGGTATTAATGACAAATCGCGCTGAAGTTACTATTCTGATTACTGCTTAAAAGACGAAGAAGCTAGTTATCGTGAATAAAACAAACAGCCCAAATATGCCTTACTCAGATATACAAAGATTCTAAACTATTGATAGTGAAATGAGAAATACCTGACGAAAAATGATATCGAACTTCTTATCTCATAGATTTTGAAGACCAACAATTCTACTATCAATTTCTTTGACCATCAATTTCTCGGTTGGTGACACGTGGAAAGGTATGAAATAAAATGATACTGACGTAGAAAGGGCTAAAATGAGGTAAAGGTATATCTAGAAACGTTCAATGATTGAAAATAATTGATTTAGTAGTTTATTTCTTTTTAATTAGTACAGAATCCATGGTGATGTCTGGTACACGCGTTAATACAAGAAATCATTAGCTTTATCTACCATAATTAACCATAATTTATTTAATCGATATAGAGGCGATTCGAGTCGTTTTAATCTCACGCCGATTGAACAACCGCTAAAGTATCGTCCTACGTACGGTAACGTCTTAATTGCGAGGTCTGAACACCAGAGCTTCGTTAATCCAGCGCATGCCAATTTGAACCCGTGACAACACGGCCTGTCCTTTAATAGCCACTTCTGCGTATCAGTCATCACCTCGCGTACCCTTCGATTCGCTGCTCTATTGTCATTGCGTAGGGTCGCTTTCCGTTTGCGGTTTGATTGAAATGAATGTTTGCAGTCGTGAGTTCAAATCCTAATTAACACCTCAGTGTATAGATAAATTGAGGCGATAGTGTAGGTCCGCGGCGTTTGTGGGGCTTTGTGAGATATCCGCTGGGCGCGTCTCTCGCTTCAGTATCGTTATTATGCGATTTGAGAAAGAGATGGGTAGTGGACAGGCCCCGCGAATAGGCACGCTTCGTTTTGGTCCTACTTGATGCGATGTCGAAATCTCTTCTTTCGTTGTTAAATGCAGCGCAACTACCTTTAAGAAAATGCCTTCTGCTATATTATAATATTTTACTAATTATCCTATATTAAACTAATACTTATATCGGTCTTGTGACTTTTGAATGTAAAATTAATTTATTTATAGCGCGCAAAACAATTTAAAAAGCAGCGCATTTTAACCTTATCGCAAATGTCTACTAGTGTTCGTAATGTTAGATTTAAGAAATATATAAAGTCAAAGTCCAAGTCTATTTTTTATTTATTTTTTCAATATAGGCTTATTTTAAGCTCTTATTAAACATTAAATTTTTTTATTAAACGTCAAAAACTTCCACCGGTTCACTAAACTAGACCTGTCCAGAGAAGAACCGGCAAGAAACTCTACGGTATTGACGTTTTTTCTCTTTTAAATTATATAAGTACAATGAATGTATATGTTGAATATTATCTAAAAAGTTATAATGATAAACTTTATTTTTAAGATCGTGTAGTGATCATGATTTAGATAATATAATATACATAGTAAGCTAATAATTATATATAGTCTAAATAAAAAACCTACTATTTACTATTCGAATGAAATTGAACATACCAAGCAAATAATTTGTCGGCGTTTAATATTTATTGATTCATATTATAGTAAAGATTAAGTTTATATAAACGTTAACTTCATAAATCACAGTTACTCCTACAATCGATAGATTATTGACGTGGTAGGTTTGTAACAAATTTTGTCTACCACAATGGTAGAGCCACTAAGCAGTCTTCGCTGTTGCACGAATTAGCAGATCTGTCCGGGGCAGTACCACGACCTCACAAAAGACCGACGTGAAGTGGAAGTGTTATTCTTCTGCGTTTCGTCTGGTGAATGACTTAGCCAGGGTCCAGGTAATTATAATGAGGCAACGCATCTGCAACCGTGTGTTACAAATGTCAATTGGAAGCGGTTATCACTTAACATCAGGTGACCCGCCAGCTCTAACTTCTCACATAAAAAACATCATATCGTTTAAGGAAGATATACATGGAATAAAACCGTTGCAACAATATCCCCGTAATCGCTCCAGTCTTATGTTGTTTGGGTGTGCATTTTAATTCGGTATGCAGTGTTGGGTTACCTTATGTCGGTATAGCGTTACGGGCATTCGCTGGAATTATTGTCGGCGGCGACGCAGTCGTCTCACTCGACCTCTATAGAGGTGGGTTAGTTAAAAAGTATATATCGCCCTGGTGCGATTCTCATCCGAAGCATGTACCGCAACGATAGACTTTAGATGCATTTGATGTTTTAATACGCACCCGGCAACGCTTGTTAAGAGCAGAAAAGCAAGGTTTGGTTCCTAGCTAGAGCATCTACCGTCCGACAATTCCGTTGAGTAATGTTTCTATTTCTATTTTAATCATAATGCACTCACGTTCGTTTGAACTGACAAACTGGTTAACGGCAGGGTAGCAAGTACCACTAGGTAGGGTACTTAGGACACATCGGCGCGTCTCCTAAGGCTATGAGGGTTGCTACCGAGTGGGTGCCTCTACCCTTCTAAACATCAGGAAGCAGATTTTTATTCATCAATCATTCATTTGCTACCATTCAAGTACCAAAAATAATGGCTTTACATAAGCACCAATACTTCGACACTAAACTGCAGTCTGCGTAGCTGTCATCGTGTCAACTAGACGTTCTGGAAAGGCTTCATCGGTAAAAAAAACATGAAAGCATACAGAGGGCGGTGGCAGGCGGTTCACCTGATGATGAGTCATTATCATCACCGATGATTATAACCACATCTGTAGATTACTAAACAGGGTCATTAATTTTAAATAATCTTTATTCCATGCGGCTTATATTAGTACTTACCCGGGCGAAGGATATTCATGCAACAGTAGAAGCTGCTGCGTAGCTCTAAAACATTTACTAGTTGTCCTACCCCATCACCAACCATCACATACTCGTAGTTTCCACTTAGCGCGAAGTGTCTCCGGGCAAATTAAATAAATAAACAACACAATAACACAATAACACTAAACCGCGTCTAGAAGTGCTCGGAAATCGTTCGGACTTCGGTCGGAATCGGTCGAGAGTGTATGGTTGTGGTGATTTTCACTTACCTCGTAACGTGTTGGTCCCATACAACGGATGGTCGTAGGGGACGGGCCGGTACGCGGGGTGGAGGGCGGCGAGGTAGCTCAGCTCGCTGGTCGCGCCCGCCGCTGCCGCCGCAGCCGCTGCGAGCCTACGTAAAACCAGCGTTGTTAGACCCACATGCTAGGTTAGGTTATAATGGGAACTGGTCTATGTCGGTTTTGCATTTCGACCGCCATATCTCACTTTAAAAAGAAAATAAATACAACCATATGAAAATTATAAATTATATATATATATATATATATATATATATATATATATATATATTTTAATACTATTCAGCGAGGAAATGCAGCTAGCGTTCTAGGCACCATGCCGCGTGGATTAGGTTTAATAGATAATATGTAATTTTAGATAGTTTTAATCTTGTAAATATTATATCAATAAACTGTATGATTTTAATAGCATATGAAATATAATATTCAATTAACGGTTATTTAATGGAATAAAATTCATAAATATTAAATTAAGGAAAAAGTGATGACAACATAAAAGAAATATAGTAATAAATAAGCAACAAATTAAAGAGTCAGCGAAATTTATATTACTACAATATTTGAACGCTTTAAATGGAGCTACGATATAAAAGGACAAAACTTTCTTTTATCGGTCGAGCAAACAATAGCAAATCACAATTTGTTAAATCAAAAATGGCAACATTACTAGGAAACACTGTACCGTTGCGAAGTTATTGCTCTCTAATTGTGTAAAGCGTGGAGACTGAGAAAAAAGTCCACAGTCCGATCGGACACTATCATAAAACAGCACATCGAGAGGCACAAACATCTCCATTGAAGCCCACCTGCCTATTCAAGGCATTCGGATTATCGGCACGGGCATCTTGGCGCGGCTCTCGAGGGCCAGCAGTCCGGACCCCGTGGACAAAAAGAGTAGAGTCCCTTTGTGTTCCCTAACGCGATGTCTGGACATCTGACCTTGTTGAATTGTCAACGCGCACCGGGGAAATTGGGGATAAATGAGCCACCGCGTCGTTAAATAAAAAATAAAAAGCAAAATAATTTCGATTCGTCTCTAAACGTACGTCGGAAGCGTATAAATAACCTATTGACATTCGCATTTATCATCTGCGAGTTTTACAAAGTTGAGAGGGAAATTAAAAAAAAAACCCGAGTCAAAACAATGAGCCGATAAGGCCGACACACGATAAACGAGCGACGCCTAGTGCGGGGCAGAAACACAATGGCGCGGGCAGATCGCGCGGGCTTAATAAAATTATTAAACAAATCAAGCTCATAACATAATAATGCGGGCCAGAAAATTGTCGGGTGGGCGCGGTGGATAAAGAAATTATCCAACTTACCGGCCACGGACGACGGCGCGCCCCCCCCGGTCCAGAACAAAGACGTACTCCCCGTGAAAAAGAAAAAGCAACCAAAGCCAACGGAATAAATAAAACAAATGGTGGAGCGCTCGCGCGCCTTCGCCCTCGTGACGTCTTCATGTACCCCGTCCCTTTCGCACACCTCGCCGGCCGACTAGAATGCGCCGGAGCGACAAGGACGAAGATAGCCCGAGTCCCTCACGGAATAGGAAGAGAGTTTTGAAACTGTTGCGCTGGATGTGAAACAAGTTTTACAGATTTCGCGCAGGCGGACTGACTTTTTTCTTTCATTTGATATTTTATTTAAGGTATTTTTATTTATTATGATATTTCATGGGTAAATAGTGTGTGTCTGCGAATATTAGGCTTACGAATTTATTTTATCTATTATTTCAAGATTCAAAATACTAAGTGATTTGATGTAATTACGTGTTTATTGCAGCTAAAGCTGCCTTGGTTTCTGGCTGAAAATTACTATGTCCCTACAGGATCCGAAGTGTAACTACATCAACCACTAAGAGCTTATACAGAGGTTAATGTAGTGCAATTGCCGTGTTTTAATCATCGACGTGGACATAGCTAAAAGTGTTGTACAAACTTAGTAAAAATGTATTAATCGTGGTTTTAGTTTTCATTATTTTGTTTTTATCATAATAATTTTGTGTAACAATTTATTTACATATGTTTATACATAATATATGTAAAAACATGTAACTTGTTTATGCAACGACTGTTAACTCGATTTGTACAAGAAACAGTGACACTAAGAAAATGTATTAATGAAGGAAACTAAATTCCAACCAATACCAACTCAGATCTTGAAAAAGTAACCAAAACTATTGTTGTTAAAATATTTGCATTGCAGGATTTCATTATATCGATAAATCACAAGTATCCACATTATAATATTATATGAATATCCTTAAATCTATAAGTCTTATAGTAAGTGAAACGGACTTAAATCTATAAGTATTATAAGTTACGACACGTGGTTCTCAGTTATCTCATGTTATGAAGCCCAAAAAAAATAGTTCTAAGCTACAAACTTTTTTGTATCCTCTCCGAATTACAACCCGAAACTATATTCCAATAGATCCTAAGTTCGGTACGCGACTCAAAGCAAAGAAATGATCATAGCACGAACGGAGAAATTGCTGTTTGCTCATTACACGAGGAATACGCACCGTCATTATTTTTATTAGCAACAAACGCTATGATTTGAGCCGGGGGCGCCTTTTACGTCTATCATTACAAGTTATAAAATGTAATACGTTCAAAATAAGTCGGAACACTAAATCCGGCCTGCACTGATTTTGAATGACGCCGGGGATAAATGCGGCACCGGCGGCCCCATAGGGCCCCGCGGACAATTTCGTCGTAAAACGAACGGCTGAGACAATAAAACGCAAATGACTATTAGCGCGGATATTGCGCGAAATTGAGCCGGCCCCAAGTTTACAGTACCGTCTGTAATTGTGATATTAAAAACAGCATAAATTGTTTTGAACACTCACAGCTCAAATGAACAGTCATCGTAAGAAAAGTTATTGAATGGGGTTATTTTCTACGGATTAGTTTTTCTACGGATTTTATGATGCTTAATTTGCAAAAGAATTCTCGAGAGTCCATCCCGTGACCATGCAACAAATATTTAATTCCAAATTGAACGTGAATGAATTTTGTACAAATAGTTTCATAAAATAAACTGGTTGGAATATTGTGGTTTTTATAATTTAGTACCTACTTCTTTAATATATTAATTGACAATACATTATAAATAATTCAGCGTTGACACAGATTATAACAGGCGTAAGAGACGACGGACATTTATGATCGATATCTCAAGTCAATGTTATAGTCTGCGCTACTGTGTTATCTGTGTTACTTAAAGTCGACGTCAGTTTTTGCCGCCCTCCGCGATGTCGCATAGACCTGGATTAGAACATCTCAATTGCTTTTTCTTATATATTTACGGGTGGCAGTAATCAGATAGCATCTAAGCTGACGGTCATTTTGTTATTCCATCGACGTTCGCCGGTACGGGACTCAATCATGGCTTCATGAATGTTTCATAGGACCGGTTGGCAATTACAGAGGTCCCTGATGTTGGATGCTGTTGCACGTCGGAGCGAATCTAGTGCTATGGAGATTTCGAGATGTATTTTTCCTTTTTCACCGTGTACCAAATGATTTAAGTAAAAAACGTTACGTATTTACGATGAACTATGCGGACTTAAATACTCTATTATCGTCCGAAAGAACAAACCTTCGAAAATGATAAACGTTTGAACAAGAATGTTTAAAAGGTGTAACAAACTAATGTTACTATAATTATTCGACCATAGCATAACATTAAAATCCTCAATGACGTTAGAAAAGACATTACGAATTCTCGACATAGTTCAACGACATAAACACGGTGCACATAAAAGTCGAAGGCAACTTCATAAATTAACTTTTTGGTGTTTACTTTTTACTCAGTCTCAAACAAAGCGATGTTGGCGGGGTAAAAATAACCTAAACTGTTGGTAAGCGCACGAATGTTATCAGATATTGAGCGACCATCAATAACCGACGGTGACGGTGACATCTTGTCGCGGACGCGTGTAGGATGTTCGACGTCTTATCTTCACGGCCCGTCGCATGGTGGATGAGCAGGAACGTGTAAAAGTCTAATGCGTTTAAAATTGACGCCCCGATGTCGTTCACCCCTTGGGAACGGCTTGTTAACTAGACGGGCGATCTAACAGAGTCAACTGCACATGGAGGTCCGTTAGACACGCTTTATGGAAATCCTAAAGAAAGGTAGACCATGAGAGCTTGATTAAATTATTGTGGTGAAAATGATTTACAGCTTGGCTATATGGTCATGTAACTATAATGTGGTTGTCTTACAGGAAGGAGTGAATAGGCTTTCTCTAAGTTATCGTTTGCCACAAAAATGCATTATCTTGCTACTGACCATGAGGTGGGACGCAATCCTATACGTGATATAAAATTATACGGAGCTCACCAGGCAATCTAAGCTGTTTTTTCACATATTAATTTATGATTGATTAATCTTCTTAGCTGTAATTTAGTGTTGATGTTCGCACCATGTGGGACAGTGATGGAAAACACCAGGAAAAACTGACGTGAGATATAACATAAGTGTGGACATAATGTTAATGCAAATATAATGTAAGGAAAGTAGAGTACTCCGAGGAAGCCTAGAATAGACCACATCACATTCTTTACAGAGGTGGAGGCTTCGACAATTCAAGTAAAGTGAGCACTACTAGACTAGAAGAGTAGATTTCGAAACAAGCTTTTATTTTAAACACCTACGCAAAGTTTGGCAAAAAAAATTGTATTTCTAAGCCTTTTTCACTTTTAGTATTCGAAAATCATTATACAATCCTGTCCGCTGCAAGTCCTAACATCATGATCATCATTTCGACTGCTCTAGTCCAATCCTGAACATAGGCCTCTCCAGCCAGCTGCATCCATCGACTTCCCACTTTCTTCCTCATCGATTACCGGTTCTACGAGCTCACTGCCATTTCTGATAACTAATCTTCTGAGCTGAGATGCTAGGACCGAGCCCTAAGATAGGTGATGATAATGCCCGAGCTAGCGCACGAGCTTAACGCTCTCTCGACCTGATGTCATTAAGTCTCAACCAGGGGCAAGAGAATACGACAAACCTTCACAGGGTGAGCGATACACGCACGAACCACAAACACCGCGGAGCTTCGCGGTCGATAAATAACAAAAAAAGATCGAGCTGGCCCCGCTCTCGAAATAAATGCAAAAAATTTACGACAAGAGCAATTTCACGACGCGATAACGATTTCGCACTCCATTGAAACACGTCGCGGCGTACGGCAGTATGTCAGGATATTGCGGACAAATGACGCGCGGGCTTAAGCCGCGGCCTCCTTAGGACGCGGGGATTTATTAAGGTCTCGGGGGAATTTGAGCGGTCGGAAAACGCCACCCGCGGGGACCCCGTGCGCGCGGCGAGAATCGAACGCGACGAAATCCGGAATGCCCCTAGCGTGTACGCCGCCCGATTTATGTTCCAAATAAGAAGAATCCGAGCGGGTGAATTTCGTTTTTGTAGCGTTAATATTTGCGAAGGGTTTTATTACCATTAGGACTAAATTTTCTGCACAAAGGCGCGTTGACAAAGCGACGACTACCGACCGCTCGAAAATAAGTACAGATTCATGTTTTCAGATTCACTAGAATATCCTCATAGGATAATACACGATTATTATCAAAGCACAAAAAGATACCACATTATTTGTATATCTCGTTTCAAATTAATTGCTTAGGTACTGAAGTACTTAGATATCTAAACTTAGAATGCTACGGCATACATAAAATACTTAATTTATGCGTACGCGCTACATAAATTAAGTATTAGTACCCGGAGAACCGAGCTTTGCTCGGTTAGTTTTTTTTGGTAAATCGTGTATTTTGGAAATTACATTTAGATACAAATTACTGAGTAATGAAATATGCATAATGTTTTTCGATCTTACTGACGTAATAATAAGAAAATATGAACTGATGTTTTTCACAAAAGAAAGAACTTTAAAAAAAAGGGAAAAAAAATAAAAAAAATAACAAATCGACAAAAAATTAAAAATAAAGAAAGCAATAATCTGGAATAAAGAAAAAAAGTAAAAAAATAAATGTGTAAATGATCGTGCTGCGAACCACGGCCGTCTGTTTTGGGGCCTCCCGATTACCGAC